GTCGGACGAAACTATATATGGGAGCTATATCTAAATCTGGACCAATTTTCTCCAAACTTGGCAGACATTACTTTAGGCTCCCTTATTCCAAATTTCGTGCAAATCGAAAGATATATAGAGACTTTGGTGCACCATTTACATAAAATCGGAGGAAACTATATATGGGAGCTATATATAAATCTGAACCGATTTTTCCCAATTTCAAAAGGGTTCGTCCTTGGGCCAAACAAATGAGCTGTGCCAAGTTTCATCCAAATCGGTTTATAAATGCGACCTGTACTTTGTTTACAATTTAACACCAACAGACGGACGGACGGACATGCATAAATCAACTCAGAAAGTGATTTATGCATATTCTCAAAAGGAACTATGGGTCTATCTCGTTTCCTTTTGCCTGTTACAAACCTGTACCACAGTGTGGTGAAGGGTATAAAAAGGTAGGGATCTTTATATTATCACTATTTAAAAACAGGGTCCTATGCTGAAATTTTTCTTTGAAGAATTTTTTTTCTGTCCACCAAAACGCTAAATGACAAACCACTTTCGTTTGAAGATGAGCATAAGACCATCACAAAATTGGATGACACCTGTACATGGGGCTATGTCAAAACGTGGACGTGGTATTGTATATTTTCTGTATTTTGGACTCGAAATGTCACACTTCAGATAATTTTTCTAGAAAATGTTAGGATATGTCGTTAGCGAACGTGAGAATTATCTATCATTTATTTTCACAGAGAACTGCATAAACCTACACACCAATACCGACCATAATTACAATTTAGTACCATTTTGTTTCTTTGTTATATTATAGTACGTATTTTTAAAACTACCTCATAATCTCACCACTACACAATTTTGTTATCATTTATTACCTTTCGTAATTACTTATTTTCAAAACCAATTCCAAACTTCATGATTAGATCTCTATAGGTTAACCCAAATTTTAATTGTTATTACCATATAGTACACACTAATATAAAACGAATAGAAATCATATTTCGCAATTTCATGATTCCAGCCCGAATATAATTTTACCAAATTTAGTACCATTTAAAACACATTGGTATGAATTTCCAAAACTTCCTATGTACTCCAATCCTACACTCCAACAGTAATCATAACTCCAATTTTGGAAAATTCCAACTGTACCGGTTCACCAAAAATTCAAATTGTACCAAATTAAGTACACATATGTACGAATTTTCAAAACTACCTATATCATACAACCAATGGAAATATTATTTCCCACTTTCAGGATTTCAGCTTTATCGGTTCACCCAAATCAACTTTTAGTACCATTTAATGCACATTAGTACAAATTTCCAAAAATTTCCTACATATTCCAATCTTACATCCCAACTCCAAATTTCAGGATTATGCCATTACAGTGATACTAACTCCATATTTCAGGATTCCTTTTCTATCGGTTCTTCCAAAATTCAAATTGTACCAACGGTAATGTTGATTTCAAATTTCAGGATTCCTGCTCCATCCGTTTCTTCAAATTCAAATTGTACCAAATTTAGTACAGTTTTGTACTTTTCATATACGAGAGTACACGCTTTCAAAATCACCTCCGTATATCGACCCTACTGCCCAACCTTAATTCCCATTTCAAATTTCAAGTTTTTAGGTCTATCCATTCACATGCTACGAAATTGTACCAAATTTAGTACATTCTAGTACTTTTTGGATACTTAAGAGTTCTAGCTCTATCGGTTCGCAAAATACAAATGGAAACACATTTAGTACTTTTCGTGTACTAAATGTGTTTCCAAAAACCCTGCCTTATCTGACACATTTGGACCAAGAGAGACTCCTACCCCAAATCAAGATTCTAGCTTCCGCCGTAAGTCAGGCAATTACTTTACTCTTTTATTAGGTGGCTAACACCTTCACAATGTCTGAATTCGGATGACATCGTTACAAAAATAGGTGTTTTCTATGTATTGAGAACCCGAATATCATTTCATATGAAGTTTAGTAACATTTCGAACACTTTAATACTTACCACCTTCGTAAGTTATACATTCATAGCGAACCACTATTAAATGTAAAAAACCAGTGAGCGGAGCAGTATAGTCGGACGGGGCCGACCAAATGATACCCTACAAAACTACCACGGAACTCTAACTTTCTGCAGATCTATATCTATTTGCACCCTCTTAACCGATTAGAGGTCAATAGCTCCTATTTCTTGCCATGACATCATTATCGAATTATGTTTTATATCATAATATCCATTTTTTCATTTTACACAGAAAGGTCTTGGTTGACTTGACCCGCTGAATAGTGACAGATCATTACAAAAACCCATCAAATTGGTTGGTCAGATTCATTCTCCAGTGTATATAGATCGACATGATCATCACTGCAAATTATAGGCGTTGTCCTTGACCATAACCGGAACCTCATGGAAACTTTAAAATCGATCAGCGCTATATTTTCGCCTTCTAGTATGGTAATGGGTTACTAAATAATATCTCAGTACGTAAGCACCTGTAAATATTTTAATGTAACTCCCACATCCGAGTACATACGACAATATAATTGGTATCAATTTAAATGTCAACCACTCCTCTTGGATATAATATCAACTTCTCGGGTCTATGCCATTCAGGTGTAAATATATACGCTATAGAATATAAATTTTGTCATTTTTCACACAAAAGTCAGGGTCCATTTGACCCGCTAAATATTGACCGATCTTCACGGTGTTTGGGCCATAATTGCGGCCTCTGGAGCGACCAGAGAACCCGACAAAAATAAAGTGTTTGCTCCATTTCATCGCCTAAATATTAACCGATCTTTTCCAAAAACAATAAAGGTCTTCATTGGCTAGAACCCATCCTACATGCAAAATGTCGTGAAGATTGGTCCATAACTGTGGCCTGTATCGTGTTTACAAATTATAATGGACAGACGGACGGACGGACACACATGTCTAGATCGACTCAGCTAGTTGAGATATGACGATCGGTATACTTAAAGTTGGGTCTAGGACCAATATTTCGCGGCGTTACAAACTTTTGGGGCTGCACAAAGCTATAATACCCTGACAACATAGTTGTGTAGGGTATAAATATTAATATTTAGAAGTGTTCGAACTTTATTGTAATGAATTAACACATTCTTACCTTAGCCTTATACACCACATTTCAATACCGCATGTATATACTGATTTAGGGTCATTTAGTACGTATTGGCTAATACAGCCTCTTTATTGAACCGTAAACACCAATAGCGTATCTCACTTTTAATTTAAGTATTATTGTTCTATTCATCCACCCACCAACTATTGTACTTAATTTAGTACCATTCAGTACTTTTTTTACTTTATGCACCAAAAGTGATCTAATTTTCAGGCTTCAAGCTCTACTCATTCACCCGTTAACAATGGTACCAAATGTATTAGCATTTGGTTATTTTGGTGCACTTCTAGGAATTCTCAACCCCTCGAACCTCTTCCCATGCTATATGAAAACTGTTATAGTACATTTTAGTATAAGTTTCAAAAAGAGCCGTTAGTCTAAACACTCCATTCTTGGCCTCTCCGTTGCCAAATACATAAGTTACATTTTCACTAACTTGTTAGGATAGGACCTCAGTAGCCTCTGACGAACCTAATAGAGATTCTAAATGTTTCTCATAACTTTTATTGGGGCCCGCTTTTGTCAGAAATCTTTCTTAAATTAATTTCTAAAAGTCCGTTTCGCTAATAAAGACTTCCTGGAAGAATTGACTATTCCCATTAGCTCAAAATCTTGTAAATTTGCTTTCATGTACACATCATTTAAGGGAACCCCCCCATTCTCGATTTTAATTTTTCAATATTTTCAAAAGGCTGGTAAATCAATACCAATGCTCGTTAAGGTTTCTAACTTTGCATATATATATTTGAAGATTTAAAAGAAAAGAAAAATAATTTACGAAAAAAATTTGTTATTGTTTTGTTGTTGTTTTTTGTAATTAAAGAAAAGTCCTTATTTTTGATGGCGGGCATGATAACTCCTCATGGAACATCGAAATCCGAAAATTCCAACGGGGTTAGAAAGAGTACATGTCTAGCTCTCGTATGAACTAGAATTATTGACTTCGCTCTGAAATTAACAAAATGGCGGACCTTTGAAAAAATATTTTTGGAAAATCGCCGATTTTGACCAAAAACCAAATTAAAAAAATAAGGAAGATCTTCACCGATTGGCTTTATCCTAGGTCATACGATAGCTGTACACTCACAGAGAAACGTGTAAAAATTTGAAATTAATTGGGTTATTAGTTTTTGAGTTATAGTGCCCGCCATTCGCAAAAGAGAAAAACGCATTTAAAGTTTGAGAAGCCCTTTAGCCGTCATTTGATGCTGACACAATAAATCGGCTATATCTTCAAGAGTTCTTGAGATTTTCACTTGAAATTTTGTGGGGACATTCTTGAATTATAGTTGATTTGAATTAAATCATAAAAATTTTTGACCCCGATAATGGGGGCGTCCCCTTAATGAAATTTGGATCAATACACCACTATAAGAGGTAATCTCTCAATACCGATTGATAGTCTCACCGCATTTTACATTACGAGTAACTTACTTTGGAGAGCTCGTATGTTTGTACGGAGACTTTTTTCTCGCTAGTCTCTTAAAGTATATGTTGTATTAACTTTTATGGTACAATGTTCTAAAAATTAAGCCCTATAACTAATCGAACCGCAAATAATGTTCCACATGTAAAATTTCAAGATTTCAGCTGGGCGTGAGTAAGTCACTCGCCATAACATCACAACAGCAGTAACAACGGAATTGAGTTCGGCGTGTTTTTATTTATATTTCCGTTATATTTTTATCTTCCGATTATTTAATTACTACAATATGTCACATTCACATCTTATAATTACTCTTTAACAAATATTTAACTAACTAAATTAACTTAAACCAAATCAATAATAATTATCACATATAATATTTATCATCGAATCGTTGTCGTTGTCGACAACGGACATCATTAATATCGTACATTATTAAATGTGGCATTCTCCGCTTCTTCGTCTTCAATTTCATATTCATAGTTAGCTTCTTTCCAATCGCATAGAGCCGGATATTTTTCACTTATATTATAGGAACATTTCGATGCTGGTGGTCCACTCTGATATATCGGTTCCGTATAGATATTTGTATAATCATAATTGCAGGTCATTAGGAACTTGGTATCCAACGGTTGATCGGGTTCATGATAACGAATTGCAGCACAACCGACACGATGTACACGATCGGCTACCATTTGTGTGAAATGGCCAATTTTCTTGCTGAAAAATGGAAATAAATAGACATTTTAATATTTTTAAATATTGGTTTAAATAAAACATTTTAAAAAAATATCCGTCTCTTTGTTATACACAGTGGTTTAATTTCCTATATACGAATCTGTCTCCCTTAATCCATAAAACATATTTTTTGATAGTTATATGTTTTTACACACATACACTTTCCATAGTATAATATATAGGGAATTTTTATTATGTTACCTTTAATTCCAACTAACTTTTCCCTGTTTACGATTACGATGAGTAATTATTGTACAACACGGTAAAAGTTTAATATTGTAAAACAATAGAAAATTAAGTGTTGCAAACTGTCATGCCTCGGGTCATCTAAACAATGGAGTTCTATTTGAATAGATTTGTTTGTGTAACACCTCTACGAAAAGCGTTTAATGATTTGACGCCTGCTACTTTTCCGGTCTGTTTGTAATACAATACAAAAAATAAAAGTGTTCTATGCTTTGATTGAATTGTAATAGTATTGTAATTAGAAAGGTAATACACACATTTATGTAATGAAATTATTTGAACTAGTTCTGATGAGTTTGAAAATGTATATTAGAATACGTAAATGGGGTGTTAGATTCGGAAGACGCGTTTATGGTTCTGATATTAATCTTAAAATATTCTTTAAAAAAGCCAAGCTTATTATAGGGATGGTTCTATTGAAATATTCATTAACAAATCCACGCTTATACTTCTTATAACCCTCTAAACATCGTTTAAATCTCCACGCTTATTGTAGGGATAATCCTCATAAAATTATTCTTTTAAAATTTCATTCTTATGACTGACATTCCTCTAAAAGCATTTTTCTTATAGTCACCTATAAATATTGACTGATGGTCCTCTACAAATATTCTATATAAAATCACTGTTTATTGGTTAGACAGCCTCTAAAACATTTTTCTTTTTGGTCAGAAGGTCAACTATAATTTTTTAATAGTTCTTATAATCTAAAAACATACATAAACATTTTAAATACTTTTTATACTCTCACCCGTTGATATGGCAAAAATGTGCCTTATCGAAATTTTGGTTTGGAGTCAATTTACAAATGTCTGTCACTCAACTGGAGTAACCGAATTCGTCCAAACATTGCACATCGTAATAGGTCTTCCAACTTTAGTTCAAGTTGGAAGATGGGGAATATCGGCCCTTCCTTCTAGTACAACAAATTTTATAAAAAATTTTTTGATAATATTATAAAGTTGGAAGATGGCACCCATTGCTCCACTGCTTCTGGTACCTCAACCACAAATAGTCAAAATTTTCAATATTTCAAATTTGCACAATCTATTGTCTTTACCAAGCCTAGATCAAGTCCGAATATGGGACTAATTAATCCACTCCTTTTGAACGAACTTAAATATGTGATCTTTATTTATATGTAAACCGACTAGCACATGCCATTCATCAACCTATGCTAAATTTTGTAAATCGATTTAAAGATTTCAATCAGACACCCATTGATTACTTGGTGTACAATTAACATGAAGTTACTTCGGTGAATAGTATAAAATTGCACAATCTTTGTGTCTTTAGTGCACAATATACATTAAATCGGACGAAAATATATATGGTAGCTATATATAAATCTGAACGGATTTTCACGAAACTTAGCACATATAATACTAGACTAAATTCAATTCGCTATACCAAAAATCGTACAAATCGAAAGATATATAGGTACTTTGGTGCAGCATTTACATTAAATCGGAGTAAAATATATATGGGAGCTATATCTAAATCTGAATCCATTACGCTATGCCAAATTTCGGGCAAAGATATAAAATCGGTCGAAAATATATATGGGATATCTAAATCTGAACCGATTTTCTTCAATTTCAATAGGCTTCGTCCTTGGGCCAAAAAATGAGCTGTACAAAATTTCATCCAAATCGGATTATAAATGCGACCTGTACTTTGTTCACAATTTAACATCAACAGTCGGACAGACGGACGGACATGCTTAAATCGACTCAGAAAGTGATTCTATGCGTTTTCCCAATGGAACTATGGGTATATCTCCTGTAACAAAATGATAAAACGCTGTGGTTCAGGGTATAAAAAGTACGAAATAATATGAAATTCGTGGTCAAAGATTGATTTATTGAAACGACATGTCATTTTAAATTGTAATATTTAAACGAATGGAAAATACCCCACTTCAAAAGGCGCAAACGAAGTTGTGTGCACTTGCTATGCTTAACATTAAAACCGGCGGCATATCGATCTTTTTTCCAATTTTTTATATATGTTTCAGCATTATCTAACCTGCCTTTTTAAGGTTGCCACCCTGGCTTGACTTGGCTTTATTGTCAATGTTTTTTGAAGGTTGTCTACTTACAAGCTAAAATTCAATTTGTCCAGCTAAATTGTTTTTTTTAGGTTGGTGATATAACATTCCTTTAGCATCACCGCGTAATATTCCGCGGATAATCCATATACATATTTATGATAGAGCTTTCAAATTTTACATATAATTTGCTACTACTCCTAGGACGTTTTGTATTGAAAATAGGATATATCGGTCCATGTTTTTTATTACAATTAAGGAAAATAGTTGCCTGTTTTACTGACATAACTGGTCACGTGGCGATAGAGCACATTAGGATGGTAAATTTTGACTCATTTGTATTTCCACAGAAATTTAAAATATGATTTACAAAAAAATGTAAATATTTCCTTAATATTGAAACTAATTTACAACTTCGCTTTACTTTGCTACTATTTGCGCACATTTTTCCTCTCTCTATCTCTCTCTTGGTGACAAAAACGAATGCATTCTTCCGAAGAATAAAAACCAAAACCACCATTCGTTTATTGGCTATGTTTTGTGTTGGTATCGTCTTCCCCTCACTTGGTGGTTGTTAGTTTAACAACCGTTTGTTTGTCTAATGTTTCACTTGCTAATAACTGCCGTCTCTCCACTCACTCGATTGTGATAAGTTTTGCATTCCATTGTTTAGTTTTTCAGGTCGTTGGTGTCTATAAAATTCGCATATGCATTTTCAAAATTATTTTGATATAAATGCCAAATACAATGTATCAAACAAGTTTTCATATGTTGACTATGTCATTGTAAAAAAACATGAAAATGGGTTATGCCCTTATGTCAGACATACATAGCATTTTAGGCAAATATATCAAATATAGACATATGTAGAACATTTTCTGGATAAATGTGTTTATCATACCAGAGCCCGAAATATGAATTGCAGCCAGTGGAAGGGGAGAATAAGTTTAAAATGTTGAAAATAACTAAAATTGAGTCGTTAGTGTCTACAAAATTCACATATGCATTTTCCAAATTATTTTGATATAAATATAAAATATAGAAAAACAAATACAATATATCAAACATATGTTACATATATGTTGACTACTTCATTGTAAATAGGCAAATCCTTTTAAAACGTTAAAAGTACCCAAAGAAGTGGAGCCTTTTTATAGAGGCTATGTATAAAATTTGATAAATGTGTTTATCCTACCAGAGAAATGCTGAAAAAAGAAGATTTTCTACCCTGTAAGCACCCTAAATACAAAATTAAAGCCAATTAGGTTGAAAAACGTTCCCTGAAGCCTCCATATATATGAATATTCGGACCTATATATCATATTGAATCTATATATATTATTTAAAATGAACATTTATTGATAAACTTTAAAAAAGTTCCAAAAAAATCTCACTTCTGTCTGAAAGTATAGATCAAGATATTGAAAAATATTCCAATTGAGAAATTCTCTCTATTTATAGAATCTCTAAATCAGCCTCTAGTTTTTCATATTTTATAAATTTTGCATATTTTATAAAAACTATGCGATTTTATGTGACACATATTTTTTATGTTTCACTTCATTCTTCATTTCTGTTTTCAGAATTGGGTTATGATACATTGTATATTCAAAATAAAATATTAATTAGGTTAATTTGCAAATTAAGATATTTATGAGACAGTTAAAGCCATTCGCTTTCAACGCTTGATTTGTTTTTTCATTAATAGAATCAGAATTGAGAATTTGCATGATACGCTAAACTAAATTTGTTTAATAAATTATTCATACGAAAAGTGTGAAAGTGTTTCAAATGAACACAATGGAAAGTGTTCTGGTTGAGCTTAAGAAATTTCACGACATTAATAGGCTTTGGGATTCTGGGAATTGTTTTCGATTTTTTTTTTCGCAGTGGAGATTTTTCCTTTTTTCAAACAAGAAGTTTAATTTGCCAGAAAATGTGCGGCTGAACCATTTCCTTTCAGAGAGTATCAAGGCTTTCCATTTTATCGAACAAACAAACGAATGCACATATGTTCGTGACTGAGTCTACTCACCCCTCCGGATGCAAATGATACGCATCAATGAATGATTGATTGGCATCGATGTGTTCCTTAAACCAATTGACAATAAAGTTTTTCATGCGACGAGAATGCGACTTGATTTCACGTCTTATCCAATAGTAACCGATATTCTGGCCGCTGTAGGGAAAGCGGGGCGTATTGCGGCACAGGTCATGAGTAAAGCTGCAACGTTGCACGTGCAACGTGGCCAAATGCTCCAATTCGGTGTCCCATTTAATTTGTGGCATGTGCGAGGCTGGTTTGTAACCGGCCACTTGACCCGATGCTATGCGGGAACGTGCCAAATTATGCAAAGCCAAAATGAGATTACGACGTCGTTCGCTCATGTGCAGCAGGTGTGGTTGGGCACCGCAGGTTGCAGCAAAGTGCCCAGGATTGTGGCAAGCAACGTGTGGCAACACTTGTGTGTGGGTGCCGTTGTATGATTCACACAGTGAGGGGTTACAATACAGATCAGAGGTCAAAGTAACGTTGGGCGACGACGATGTCGGAGGAGAAGAAGAAGATGAACTTATTGGCGACTCAGTTGTGGTAGTGCTGAAGGTTGGTGTGTGGGTGGTGGTGGTAAAAGGACCTACATCGTCTGTATGCGGATCAGTGTGTGAGGTTGTGGTCTGGTTAGTCATCTTCGTTGTGGTTGTCGTTAATGGAGGAGCATCAGTTATTAGCTCAATTTTGTTACTATTGACTGGTGCTGCCGTTGTTGCTGTTGCTTCTGTTGTTGTAGTGGTGTCCTGTGTTACATTAAGTACTGTTGCTGTTTCTGATGTTGTTGTTGTTGTTGTTGTTGGACTATCAGTTATTGAGGAATTTTCATCTTCTCTTCTTTTTTCTTCAATTTCCGTTTGCAATTTATTGGTAAAATTTGAACTTTCCGTTGGTGTTGTTGTTGTCGTTATCACAGTGGCGGTGGCAACTTCCTGTGCCATCGAACTTTTTAATGATGATGCTAATAGCATCATAGTTATTATAAATTTCCACATCATTTATTTAATAATAATTTTTTACACTCTTTTTTGTTTGACTAATTATTTCTTCTCTGTTTGATTTGAAATATTTTTATTTATATTTTTTGTTTATTTTGGTTATTTAATTTTTTTCTCGCTTGAAGCTGTTGTTTAGTTAGATTTGTTATTTTGTTTTTACAAAACAAGCAAACAACCCTCAACGATCGAACCAACGAACGTTCTAAGATGATGGACAGATACAAACTGTTTTGCATTCATGCAATGCTTTGGGTATTTCTAATCAAAATAAATCGATACAGAGTCTAAAACAAATTTCTCTAGCTATTGTTATGCTAATGTGAATATTTGATAATGATGCTGGACGTCGATTAGAACAGATGTTAATAACAAATTTTAAAAAATGTTTCGCAACATGTTGCTGTGAAACAAAAGAGATGCATCTAATTACGGTTCTGCTTTGTTTCGTTTTATAGAAATAACAATAAAAATATATTCAGAACAATAACTTGCCACCTAAAATATTTCGAATACATTCCGTACGAACTCTCGAAGTCGATCTAACAATGTTCGTCCCCATGTCGTTCTGGTAGGTGAAATGATCTATATTTGGCATAACCTTTATATATGTTTTAGTATATCTCACATACAAAGGTATTTCCTGATTGGCGATATTACAAATTTCCAATTGTCTGCAATTTGATATTTAGTGTGGAACTTCTTGATCCTATATGCACAATACGAGGGCGTCCATCCGGGTTATGCTTGTTATACCCTTCACCATAAGGTTGAGTGTATATTAAATTCGTCGCGAAAATTCGTTTGCGAAATATTCACCGGATACCCCCAAAAAGAATATACATATATTCTTGATCAGAAAATTTTATGTTGACTTTGCGTGTCTGTCTGTCCGTCTGCTGAAATCACAATAGAGATCGAACTATTTGAGATAAAGCTCCGAAATCTTGAACAGAAATTACTAGAACTCCTAGATATATGGACCAGTTTTTAAACCGAATTGTCTTTAATTAAGTATTTGCCATTCATAGGTACCAGGCACAGCTTTTTTAATTTGAAAGGCCATTTTCCGAGATGTTGTCTACTTCCTTATGGACTTGATGTTGTCTACTTCCTTATGGACTCCCAAACACTCTAAGAGTTGCATCATCGGCTTGGGTAAGTATCCATGCTTCAGATCCATATAACAGCACGGGTAGTATCAGCGCCTTGTAGAGTGTGAGTTTGGTCTGGCGAAAGGTGGTAGTTGTATCATCTGTTGGCCAACACCATTCTCTTCCGAATTTCAAAATTGATGCGATATTTATGACAGTAGCGAGGTATATAAAATCTTCCACAACCTCGTAGCTGTAGTTCTCATGTTCCTCTGTTGGTCCGAGTCTACTGGACGTCTTGTGTGTTGATACCATTGGCTTGGTCTTCCCTCCATTTACCCACATTAGCAGACTTCTTCTCGATTTGTTCAAAAGTGGCTATTACCGTAGGCGAGTAAAATGTATTGTATGGTGCACAGAGTGCCATTTCTGTTCACCTTTGTCATTCGTATTACCATTTCCAGCAAGATGTTAACAAGTCACACGACTAACTTGTCTAATCCTCGATCGATCGATGAAGTGGTCTGAAAGGTGCTTTCCGACTTTAACTGCTGACCTTGTGTCAGTTAAAGTTATCCTGCATAGCCGTATAAATTTTGCAGCTATTTCGAACACAGACATGGCTTTAAACACTTCTGATCGGATAGGGCGGTCGAATGCGTCTTTTTGTAGACGAATAGGTGGAATGTGTGTTTCTAGGGTTTGGTACATATGTACACGGGACACAGTATGCTGAAGTTGCAATCATTGTACATGCATTCTTCTAGCCAAATTGTACTAATCAACTTGTGCATGCTCCTGGTCAGCATCTGTCCAACAGTCTTAAATAGTTCTTATTGGTTTTGGGGTATCTTCTTCAGCGCCCGTATTTGATACCAGCAGCTTTGCAAAATGCACATTACAGATCCTCAACACACTATATGTATCTGTCACCAGGTTACCATCTACATCTCACAGGAGGATGTGCGTGCACCTCGTTGGTAAAATTTTACGGACTTCGTTCTGACTCCTGTACATCTCGATTTGATCCAGCTTAAGTTTTTCTTGTTCTTCTTTTTTCTGAAAATACGTCTCTTATTTTCTCACGATAATTCTTCCTCACATTACGTGTTGCTACTGTATGCAGTAGCATTACGACACTCTTGATCGTACCACGGGTGATGGTTTTTAGTGTCCAAGTGTTGTTTTTGCTGCAGTTTGTAGGGAGTGGGCAATTCTTTTCTATTGTGTTTCTATATTATTATTGGGACAAGGAGTGATTTCGTCAACCATTTGGGTATGTTGAGCGGAGTAGGTTACTACTACCTGTTATGTTTGCAGCGTTTCGACACTGAATTTCTGTGTTACATTAGATCGCATCTTTGCTGCTACATTAAGACAAGTGCGAACCTTGGCTATTCGTCTAAAACAGTGGATTTGATTTGATTTCTCGTTGTTTGATTGGGAGAAATCCTCACTCACTATTTTAACGGCTGATGAAAATAGCTACCCCAAGTGACACCGCGGGAAGGTCGGTGTCCACAATTGAGATTAAAGAGGGATCAAGATAAGCCGGGGCTTCGTCATGTTAAAGCCAATCAGAACCGTTCCTTAGTATCTATCATCCCCTACGCAAAACTTTGGTACATCTCTTTCTTAAAATCGGACGAAACTATTTATGGGAGTTATATCTAAATCTGAACCGATTTCTACGAAACTTATGTTATAGTAACTTCAGTAAGTTGTGCAAAATTTTATTTTATTTTTTTACTTAAAATCGGCCGAAGCTATATATGGGAGCTATATGTATATGTATTTTTCCAATTTCAATAGGGTTCTTCCTTGGGCCAAACAGATGCGCTCTGCCAAATTTCATGCAATTTGGATAATAAATGCGTCCTGTACTTTGTTTACAAATTAAAATGGACGGACAGCCGGATGGACTCAGAAAGTGATTCTATGCATATTCTCAAAGGGAACCATGTGTCTATCTCGTTGCATGTTGCCTGTTCCAAAAATATGTAAAATAAATAATATCATGTACCACAGTGCGGTGAAGGGTATAAAAACTAAATCAGAGACAGGCAACCTACATCGAATCAGCGTTACAATAGAACTATTTTCTGTGCACAGATTTAATGTAACTACCCTAAATAGGATATGAACAAAATTTATCGCAGCTACATCCTTACATTCGGAAAGAAAAAATTATGTGTTTTGAAAACTTCCATCTCTGTTATAAGCACATGTTACATTTTGTTTCAATCTGGCAGCTACTTCATTTTACAATGGAAAAAGTTGAAATGCGTGTTTATACCCTTCACCACATTGTGGTACAGGGTATTATGTCTTTGTGCATATATTTGTAACAGGTAAAAATAATCGAGATAGACCCATGGTTCCTTTTGAGAATATGCATAGAATCACTTTCTGAGTCGATTTATTGTTATTTTTGTTAACAAAGTGCAGGTCGCATTTATGATCCGATTTGGATGAAATTTGCCACAGGTCACTTGATTGGTCCAAGAACGAACCCTATTGAAATTGGAGAAAATCGGTTCAGATTTAGATATAGCTCCCATATATATTTTCCTACGATTTTATGTAAATGGTGCACCAATGTCCCTACAGATCATTCAATTTGCATGAAATTTGATAAAGCGAACTAAATTGAGTATATAATGATATGTGCGAAGTTTCGCGAAAATCGGTTCAGATTTAGATATAGCTCCCATATATAGTTTCGTCCGATTTTATGTAAATGGTGCACCAATGTCCCTATATATCATTCGATTTGCATGAAATTTGGTATAGCGAACTGAATTGAGTCTAGAATAATTTGTGCGAAGTTTCGCGAAAATCGGTTCAGATTTAGATATAGCTCCCATATATATTTTCGTCCGATTTTATGTAAATGGTGCACCAATGTCCCTATATATCATTCGATTTGCACGAAATTTGGCACAGCGTAATGAATTAGGTATATAATGATGTGTGTTAAGTTTCGTGAAAATAGGTTCAGATTTAGATATAGCTCCCATATATATTTTCGTCCAATTTTATGTAAATGATGCACCAATATATCATTCGATTTACACGAAATTTGGCATAGTGCACTGAATTGAGTCTAGAACGATTCGGTTTAAATTTCGTGAAAATCTGTTCAGATTTAGATATAGCTCCCATATATATTTTCGTCCGATTTTAGGTAAATAGTGCACCAAAGTCCCTAAAAATCCTTCGATTTGCACGAAATTTGGCATAGAGCACTGAATTGAGTCTAGAACGATTCGGTTTAAATTTCGTGAAAATCTGTTCAGATTTAGATATAGCTCCCATATATATTTTCGTCCGATTTTAGGTAAATAGTGCACCAAAGTCCCTGTATATATATGTATATTAGTTTGGCCGTCTGCCACACAATGTATAATATACTGAAGCTACTATAACCTTTGGTGTATCAAGTTTTCTTGAAATCGGTTCTGATTTACATATTGCTCCTATATACTTTCGTTTTAAGTAAATGATGCACTTAAGACCCAAAGCTAAGCCAATTGACACAACGTACTAAAATTAGTATAAATTAATCTCTGGCAAGTCTATTTACAAAATTAGGATAAGTTGCAGAATGGCATGTGTTGGGATTTATGTTAGTCGGTTTACTTATAGATAAAGATCATGCCAATGTTCCTTCCTTCAATTTCATGTCAATGTTCCTTCGAATATACCCAAAGTGGTGAAGGGTATCATATAGTCGGCCCAGGTCGACTGTACTACTTTCCTTACTTGTTTCAATGTAAAAAAAAATGTGGATGTGTCTTTTTTGAACAACTGTTTCTTTATGAAGGAGTTGCCAGGCCGAAAAAATTAACATGTGTTCATAACAGAAATGTAAGTTTCCAAAAC